CCCCCCCCAGATAGGTCTCTGGATCCGCCACTGTGAATGGCAGGTGAATGTTATAAGACATGGGATATAGTTCATAGATTCAATTTTACAAGGATATAACATTGTAAACATATACTTTTTATGAACTTTCATGAACACGCAACATATGTATTATAAACATGTATTGAGTACCAAAGTGAAGTAGGAATATGTGATGAATATTAAACCATAAATACATTTATACATTAGCATATGAATTTACACACATATACTGTAGTTATACAAGCTGATTTCAAAGTTTACCACACCAGCATTACTTAGTTTGGTTGTAGGTCAAGTATGTGTTGTCTCACATTTACATGCATTGTATATGTTTGATTTGGTCACATATATAAAGAAATGGTACAATATACATGTATATTTAGAGGTCAAGTTATGATAATTATAAAAGTAGTATGCATTTAGTAGGTATATATATGAGTTCAATTTATTACATGATATTAGTTCAATTTAATTAAAAGTAATACAAGTTACAAATTACAAATGTGGTATAAGGTATACATGAACTACAGTACTACAGCTGTTCCTGTATAAGACATGGAATCACCCATGTTTGTGTGGTGTTCTCTTCTACAGAGAAATATACATATAACAGCCGTATCCTGACCCCAATAAAAACAATATCATATGAAACGGATATCACACTGCAGGTACTCATTGTTGATGACGTATTTGTATAATATCATAAAACATTGTGTTTAAACTACACAGCATCAGTTTTGTAGAATATTATTGATATTCATTTTACGTATTCATATAGCAGCATCGCGTAAGTCTTGCTAATACCTTGTCGGTGAAATGTCAGCAACATGGCTAAGCGTAGGTAGTACATAAATATTGTGATCAAATGCACGATTCCCAGTAGTATTGTCTACATGTAAGTTGTGGAACACTCAGTATCCCCGTGTATACTACTTTATGTCGGAGGAACACAAACATGTCAGTTGAATCGGTATTTACAAATCTTTTTTTGACCGCTCCAAATTTTAAATTTTCAATCAACAAGCGTTATTCTATTTATTGCACTCCTGCTAAATCAACGACTATGTGTATAGTGTTGTACATTTTATTTTCATACATATTTGTTATCAGTTATCCTTTATTAACAGCTTAGCAAACACCAGGAGAATCTTACTACAGTGACGTGCACATGTGTACAACCGTTTGTCATGTCCTACGATAACAATCCTGTGACTATGTAATACAATGCATGTTAAACAAGTTTTCTTTTAAAGCCTTAGCTCGTTTTGGTTACAGTGAGGTTTCTATCCGCTGATCAAATCTTATTAACTGAAACAAGAACTGGCTACGAACATTTTAAAGTCATTCATGCTACATGTATTATTGCTTCCTTTAAGTCGTTTTGTCTGACATTGCTGTTTGGTTTACGTATAGGGAGAGTAAAGGGATAACGACAAGTTTTGTTATGCAGAAATATAATAAATTATATGTTTACAGAATAAATATAGGTGCAGTTTGTATGCCATTATGTTCATGTCACACGTATTTGCCTGACGTCACATTTAACTAGCGTTTACCGCACAGATGTACATTTCGATTCGTATTATTTAGTGGATGTATACGTCAGTACAAAATCTCGTGCTACGTGTATTTGTGACGTCATAAAGACATACATTTACGCGTGGAAGGGCTTATTTATCTTAAACCTTGTTCGAAAATTATTCGAACAAAATCACATCTGAGTGATTCAGTTTCATATTAAACGTTGTTTACAAAATAATAAATATATATTAGTATCAAAGAGTAAGTACAAGTAAATGTAATCCCTATTCAAGGAGGTTGAACTCGGCATGGGTCATCTGCTTCGTTGCCATCACCGTGGCCCTGACCGACAGCTCCGTCCCACCAAACTTCATCCTAACCGTCACGCCACGTTCACACATAGGCACGTCCATGGGAAGACTGACCAGCATTTTCCCTATATAGGAACACAGGTCAGCATCACAATACTCCGGGTCACACTTGTCCGTAATGTACACCTTCATAACCATTTTTTGTCTGTCATCCAGTGGGTTATATTCTATCGGGTCCGTTTCCTCGTCGACTGTAACAGACTGCCCTTTCCCTGTGTGTTTGGAGAATCGGTCTTCGCAGTAAAGCCTGCCTTTAATCATGGTTTTGGTTGCGTCTGGGTCTAAGCCTTTCCTGAACTGCCGGGATGTTTGTATTCCATAAGTGTGTTTCATCACACGGCGAGATATAAGCTTAGAGTCAAACCCGAACAGAACCGCTCCCTTCAGGACCGACAGTCCAGCCTCTTCCGGTATGATAATCCTCCTTGTGCGACCGAACCTCTCTTTGACGGCGTGTCGTAGCATTGGTGACTCTGAGAAACCTCCAACCATCAAGATAATGGAAGTTCCTGTCCCTTCCTCTTCCTCAAATACCCCGCTGACGTGTTTCAAAATCGTTTCACATGTTTCTTCGAAAAGATTCTTTGCCAGCGCAGCATCGACACGCAACTTGTCACCTTTCCAGTATAACTTCCGGTCTCCGCCACCTTCCGGTCTAAATGTACTGAGATTGTCTTCTTTCATTTCTTCGTAAATGTCCCGGAGAGTGATTGGTACTTTAAATGTTATCCTAGCTACAGTATCTGGTGTTATTGTACGCTTCTTGGTTTCGAACTCGCGGAAGATTTCAATATAGGAATCCATGTAGGCAATTTTGAACGCGTCCCAAACTTTCTGACCAACTAGCTCTATAAGCAACGTCTCAAACGCCTTGTCCACCTTTGTCCCTCCCCAGTCTCCCCCGTTCGCCATGTAAACCTGATGGAGTGAACCGTCGTCTTGGACCTGCTGAACGGTTATATCGATAGTACCACCTACAAAAGGGTGAAACATCTAAAGTGGTGCCATATTCAGAAAAAAAAAATCAGTCTGATATAGCATCAGAAAAGCTGTTATATTTGTTACATATTGCACATTAATAAAAAAAATAAAAAATAAAGTGTTTTGATTGCAAAAAACGACCGTGATTCAAACCGTGAACTTCAAGTTGTTTCCTTATTGCTCTAGCCGTCTAAGTTACCTGATCAACGAAAAAGTCCTGGCCCATCTGTGCTATATGATATCCAAAACAAAATCAAGTGGAAGTCATTTGATATACGAAAAGCTACAGTGCTGTGGGGCAGGGATCCTCAAACCGAAAAGTTGAATTTCACATGAAATATCTAGACTGGACTAACCAAGTAGTTAACATCTGTGACGACATCGTATTGCAAGGCTATCTAATGGGTAATGTTACACGTTATATTTCATAAACTAGTGCGAAAGGATAATAACACTTCATATCGGATACAGTATAATATAGCAAACAACTAATTGTTAACCAATCTAATCTTATTTCTTACCATATCAATCAAAGTTGGAGTACCTAAAGCTTTGCCTATTACATGTACTTATAGAAACACACGCGTCCTTATTAACCGCAAACATTACCTAAAGTCCCAAGTAACGACTTAGACGTACCTCCTGCATCTAGCACCATGTACTTAGTGCCTGGACGAATGGTCTCCAGGCCAACCCCGTCATCTTGTTGTTCTCGCCTGTTGACAGACATGTGCTTACAGTAAATGGACGCTGCCTCCGGTTCCAAGGCGATATCCAGCTGTTCAGAACGTATTCCAGCCTTAAACATAAGTACGTCTTTCAAAAATCTGTTTTCATGAACATGCAGGCTTTCGACGATATTTTTTTAAACTGAAACGTTCGTCTTTATTAAACCTACACACAGAGAGGTTTAATTAGATTAAGAAGGTGATGATGATTTAAAGTGTAACCTGTGTTCATAGCGTGTTACCTGTGTTAATGGCGTACATTGTATAACCTGCGCTTATAACGTGTAACATGTGTTTATTACGAGTAACATGTGTTAATAGCGTGTAACCTGTGGAAATAGAGTGTAACCTATGTTAATATCTTGTAACCTATGCTAATAGCGTGTAACATGTGTTAATAGAGTGTTACCTGTGTTAATAGAGTGTTACCTGTGTTAATAGGGTGTTACCTGTGTAAATAGGGTGTTACCTGTGTAAATAGAGTGTTACCTGTGTAAATAGGGTGTAACCTGTGGAAATAGAGTGTAGCCTGTGTTAATAGCGTGTAACCTGTGTTAATAGAGTGTAACCTGTGTAAATAGAGTGTTACCTGTGTTAATAGAGTGTTACCTGTGTAAAAAGAGTGTTACCTGTGTAAATAGGGTGTTACCTGTGTTAATAGAGTGTTACCTGTGTAAATAGGGTGTTACCTGTGTAAATAGAGTGTAACCTGTGGAAATAGAGTGTAGCCTGTGTTAATAGAGTGTTACCTGTGTTAATAGAGTGTTACCTGTGTAAATAGGGTGTAACATGTGTAAATAGAGTGTAACCTGTGTAAATAGAGCGAGCCTTTGTTACTAGAGTGTAACCTGTGTCAATAGCGTGTAACCTGTGTAAATAGAGTGTAGCCTATGTTAATAGCAGCGTGTAACCTGTGTTAGTATACTGCTTGTATGGGATTGATTCCTATTTCAAGTTCAGTATCGGATGTATTACACATCTACATGTAGTCATACTTGTAAATGTGCCTATTTCACATCCAACTCGCTTCCGCTGTCTAAAAAAGTCAACAAAAGTAATCAGATATTATCAAAGTTAAATCCACACTTTCAAAGAATAATCACACATTTAACCTCCTAGCCACAGTGGTAAAGGGTTTGTATAGTTTATAAGCACACATGCATTTGCTTTGACTTGAACAAGAAACAGAAGTAGACCTACCCTTTTGGCCGACTCCCTCATGAACTGCTTAGCTTGGTCCGACCAGATGGCGGGAACAGTTAGTACCCAGTGAATTTTGTCGTCCTGGATACCAGCACCAACGGATCGCTCTCTCATTTTTCGAACTGTTTCTTGACGAAGATGCAGGATGATTGCTGAGAATACCGTGATGGCGTTCATTGTTTTTCCTGTGTAATCCTGCAGAGTGGAGTGGTGGCTTATACTCTAAAAATGAAAAACAATGACGGTAAAACATTAATAAAAATGGTATGTATGTTCTCGTAAAACTACTGACTACTCCTATTTATGAAAGCAATCTTTTATTGTTACACGTACCCGTTGTGTTTTATCGAATACAATACAAAGTGTACCAGTTTATGTTACTGCGATGTGCCTTTTACGTCGTCAATAAGAAAACGGTTTGACTTTTAAGTTTACCTGACCATAGGTCATGATAACCTATTGTGATAGCCTTTTTCCGTCGTCGTCCGTCGTGCGTTAACTGTTCCTTGTGAACACGATAACTTCAGTAAATGTTAACCGAGTTTGATGAAACTTTGTATGCAGCTATATATCAATAAGATCTCGGACGAGTTCGAAAATGGGAACTATTCGACAGTGACTTACAGATTTATTGCCCTTTGTAATAATACTATTATTGGACCTTGTGAACACGATAACTTCAGTAAATGTTAACCGAGTTTGATGAAACTTTGTATGCAGCCATATATCAATAAGATCTCGGTCGAGTTCGAAAATGGGAACTATTCGACAGTGACTTACAGAGTTATTACCCATTGTAATAATATTATTATTGGACCTTGTGAACACGAGAACTTGAGTAAATATTAACCGAGTTTGATGAAACTTTGTATGCAGCCATATATCAATAAGATCTCGGACAAGTTCGAAAATGGGAACTATTCGACAGTGACTTACAGATTTATTGCCCTTTGTAATAATACTATTACTGGACCTTGTGAACACGATAACTTCAGTAAATTGTAACCGAGTTTGATGAAACTTTGTATGCAGCCATATATCAATAAGATCTCGGACGAGTTCTAAAATGGGAACTATTCGACAGTAACTTACAGATTAATTGCCCTTTGTAATAATATTATTATTGGACCTTGTGAACACGAGAACTTGAGTAAATGTTAACCGAGTTTGATGAAGCTTTGTATGCAGCCATTACACAAGTATAGATGTAAATTCATGTGGTACATCTTATTTTTCATTCATGATGCATTTTTGCTACTAACAAGGTGCTATTAAAATTTTGTGCCTTATTTAATAAATCATTGATTTACGCTTTTACTTGTTTCTTTTAACCAAGAACAGAAGACATACAGTTACCAAGTTTGTTCAAAACAGACCCCTTGGGTCAAAATTGGAGTCACACCCATTTATTTCAGTTATCGTGTTCACAGGGTCCAACAGTAATATAATTATCAAGGGGAATAACTATGTAAGTTATGTTCAAATTGGTCCAGTATTCAAACTCATCCAAGATCTCATTGATACAAAACTGTATACAAAGTGTCATCAAAATCGGTTCATTTTTACTGACGTTATTGTGTTCACAAGGAAAAATTAATGGACGATGCAGCAAGGTCACTCGGACCGACCAAAAGTATGAATTGGCCCCTGGATGACAGTCCTAATTTGAATCGGATGTCAGGTGACCGTTAAGGCCGATGGGCCTCTAGTTAAAAGTAATTTCTGTGAACGTATTTTTTTACTTAGTAATTACACCTTGATTAGCATCTACTCACTGGGTTGTTATACAGCATCATCTTAAACCGCCGGAAGTAGTACCAGCCTGTGTGCTCGTCTGTAGATGTCAATTCTGCATACATGTTCTCGGCGTCAAACCCAAATGAGTGAAACTGCCCTTGTGTATTAAAGAGGATACATGTTGGAGCTTTCAAGGAGTATCCACTTTTAAAATCGCACCCATTGATATGGAGAGTATGGCGATCGTGGGTGTAGTCCTTTTGGTAGGCAAGAGCGTATCCAGAATAAGTTGTCCCAAAATCAATGGCAACCACAACCTCCTTGTTGTCGGGGGTGTCGTCTGCTTCAGCGCATGTTGCCATCGTGATGGGCTAGACAATGTCGGTTTCCTATTTTAACATTTTTTCTGCATATTATAACAAAAGTAGATAAACATTTACATTACCATATGTATATATTATAGTTACTTGTACTATGACGAAATGTTAATTCCTTTGAAAAATCAAATAATGTAATTTAGCACTCTCACTCGTAATGAAAACAAACTGGTTTTCAGACGGAAGTACCACGTTTTGTCTCTGCTTAAATAGTTAACAAAGTCAGTTTACAAAAAGATGAAACAGTATGACGTAAACATGTGGAGGTATGCGTGTAATTATGTTAATACAATTTTATATACATTCAGTAGTTCAGATGATTTAGTATTGCAGTATTACAAAATGTATCCTGTACGACATAACTGTCTCCGTTGTTGGCGTGATCGTTCATCTCATTATTGAAAATTGAAAATGCTGAATGTATTATTTTCCAGATTATAAGTGATTTGAGATTATTTAAAATGCAATCTTATCATATCTATCATTTATTGTGTTTCCCTGAGCATGACTACAAGGTTAATTTTGAGTACCAAGAGTAGCGAGCGTCCGACTCTTTCCCCTGGTTGGAGTACATACAGTAATAATGTGAGATCCTCGTGGACTTTTTGCTAGCTATATTAGCTTGTCCAGAAGTATACAGTGTGCTTTTCACGTTTTCTACTCTCAGCAGGACCTGTTTCTATCAGAGTTACAGGAAGGCTCTATTGAAGGTGAGTTTTGAATTGTAGTCTTTTGAGCGTATATTTCAACATCTGAAATAATTATATAAGTGGTAGGGGAATGCCATATATTTCCTATTCAGTGACGTTATCGTTGTCATAGTTAGCAGTATTTATCTTATATGCCAGTATTTATGGTTGGAAGTTCTAGTGATCTTGGACACAGGGACATGATAATTTGTGACAATCATGTACAGATATAATTGGACCCAAACTAAGGTGTTCAGAGTAATTTTACATGTTGTAGGGATTTAAATCGACTTTCGGTAAAAATGACACCCCAATGACTTTCGGTAAAAAGGACTATAAGGGGGTGTCATTTTTACCAAAAGTCGATCTAAACCCCTAAAAAATGTAAAATTACATTGAACACCTTGGTTTAGGTCCAAATATAGCTCTAACAAATTCTCAGGTCCCTGTATGTTGTCATGGATAACCAGTATTGTAGTCACCGCCTGATCACACTGCAGCAGCAGTACATTGTACAAGGTCTTTGGGTTTTCTGAAGTAATTTTTAAGAGCTTCTCAAACTTTTAAATGAGTTACCTCCCTTTGACTGTTGCCAGTCGTATTTTATCGGCTTGATTTCGCGAAGCCTAGCTAGCAATGAGGTTTTAATACAATACGAGCTGTCATCTTACTAGTCTGTGGACAATACAAGGCGGTTCCTTCTAGTAAGTGTTTTATATATTACAAGCATGTGGGTTTTGCTGTTATCTTTGTTAACTACGACCATTATCATTTTATTTCATCGGTAATCATTTCATCGTTTGTGAATTCCATGAACTATTTTATTATCATTGTTGCACGGTACTTATCTCTTCTGGATGGAAACAAAAGTTTAACTAATATTTGAAAGAGCCTTGACTACAGGAGTAAAATAACGTTGATCGGATGTTAGTGTTAAGTATATTCTTATTGTGTTTGAAACAAAGCAATATCGTTTGATAACTGTTTAATATGAACTCCGCACACTAAACATACAGTGAGAACAATGGATATATAATCAATACGACATTTTATATCAATATCATAGTGACTGTATGGTATATCGACAAACATGTAATACACGTATAAAGAATTGTCATCTTTATCGAGATGGAGTTCTGTTCTGGTCGAATTACACGTATGTTTGTAACGAAAACTGTTTACATAACCTTAGAGAGGACGTATACGTTATTCATAAAGTGAGTACCACTAGACTGCCACCAGTCCCATCCCTTCTAGTTTTTAATCATACACACCTAGTGTATTTGCTACACAAAACGAAAGTAGAGAGTCATGCATACAATACAAACATATATATTTTGTTCGTAGACAGTAAAAGCTGTATTCTTACCGAGTTTCTGTCACCCCTCTTACATCACAATCACATGTTAATAGTTTGGTTTATAGTCTGCCTCATCTGTGTAGAAATTGACGTTTGTCCGAACTGAAGGGTTCTCCTCGACGTCAGACTGGCCCTTGGTTTCCGGGTAGGTATACGTACACATGTATATTAGTCGTAGGTGTATCGGTTACAGGTGTGTGACCTATTTCTGATAAACACATACAGCACTGGGTATGTAATCGACAGTAACATTATTTACACACATGTGAAATAGCGTGGCTCTGTCAATAAAGGTGTGGGGAGTTGTCGTTAAACATATCAAATGCATGTAATTGTCAATATGACTAGCTTAGTGACGTAACATGAACTTTCGGGAAAAAGAAAGTCCTTTGATTTCTACGATTAGAGTTTTTGTTTTTCGAAACATTTTGCTAAATTGCGTTATTCATTAAACATAAATGAACATGTATACAACAACACATTGTAAACTCATCCCCATAAGACACACATACATGTTTATCAATGTATTAGTCTTATGTAAATGTCTTTCCGTTCTTGGTCTTCAGGCTATCTGCCTTTGTTCGTTATATTGTTCACAGACTTTTAAATATATGTAAACATCGATGCATATTTTCATAATCATCTACAAACTATATTTTCCTCGAGTGTTCTTGATATTATCAGCAAGGCAATGCGATGATCCGTAAATACAACGATTCCGCCATTGCATTATTTCTGATAGCCAATGTTTTGATTTAATAATCTTATCAGTATACCCGCATTTATCGGCGAGTTAGATACAAATGATACATTTTATCAGGCATGGAATGTGATGCTCAATATGTAAAGCTTCACGATTTCCTTGTTTAAATAAATACTGACAACAACATGCGTTTTACACTGTACAGTTTAAATAAGGTATATTTTAGTCTGCGTGTTATATCATTCTGTGAATTAATACTGTCTGTCCTTTTATTCCTCAATGTTTCGTTATTCATTTAGCAGTGCTATTTTCTTATTATACCTTAGTTGTGGCGAGGTCGTTACACCACAAACAAAAAATTACCATCCAGCATTGAGTCCATCTGTACTCGCTCTAAACGGACATGTTGACAATGATAATAGTGATCAATAATATCCCGTGATGTTGTCGGGTCGCGCAATTATATTAGTGATAGCGCACTTGCCTGTCACCAAGGCGAAGGTAAGGGGTCACCTGCCCGACTACGTGTGTGTTTTCTCCGGGTACTCCGGTTCATCCCACAATCAAACCCCTTGTGCGCTAACATCCGGGCCAACAAGAGTGATTAATATAAGTTGAAATATATATCATATTACGTCACCCCGAGAAAATCAAGTGTGGAGAATTATGAAAAGTTCTTTTTACACAGCCAATACAATTTTCTATGTGACGTTTTGATGACTAGTACGATATGTACACTGTCACCTTCATCAGACAAATGACCAGTGAAGCGTATGCACACAAAGGTGTAAAATGTGTACGAGTTGTCCACAAAATCGATGTCGATCTTGGTTCAATAGTTGTTATATATGTGACGAAATGACTCGATTCAGCTACGCTTTTTTAAATACTTGGTCATAGATGTGCGAGAGTCTTTGAGCTCCCTCGTTTGATTTAGAACTGGCTCACTGCGGCGTATCCAAATAGCTTCCTTTATCTGCCGCTTGAACAGATTGCTCTCTCTGTTATCCCAGTCAATCACATGATTTTTTCTGTGTGGGATGGTCTGTGATTGCCGATTTATTTATCTGGGACTCCGACTTCTTCCTTTCTGTTCTGGTGAATTTCCTACCTTATTGGGTTTTGTAGCTCAAAGACTCTCGCACATCTATGGCCAAGTATTCAAAAAAGCGTATAAACTAATTACAGGTTAAAATAAATTGTCTAGTATAATGTACAAGCTTATGCTGAATTTACATGAAAATGATTTTGCTGATTTTAAATGGATTTCATATATCAAGAATCTATTCGATTGCACAGGACTAAGTTACGTATGGTTACAACAAAAAACTAGCACTATGAATAAACTTTACTTCAGGGTTAGTTTTAAAACTATTCTGTATGACCAATTTATACAACAATGGTATACTGATAATGAAAATCTTCCCGGGGTCAAGCATATGCAATATTTAAACATCAATTTCAGTTTGAAAAATTCTTAACTACTCTCAAACAAAAAGATAGAATAACTATCTGTAAGTTCAGAACCAGTAATATATCTCTGCCAATAGAGACTGGGCGATGGACTAGAACACCACGTGAAGACAGAATCTGTCTGCTTTGTTTTACTGGAGTTGAAAGCGAGTATCATTATTTGTTTATATGTTCAAATGCTTATGTAAGTCAAATCCGTAGAAAATATATTCCTTTTTAGTATACCTCTAATCCATCTGTTCATAAAATAAAAGGATTAATATCAATATCCAATGTTAGAATATTATCAAATCTATCGCTGTTCATACAATAACTAGAAAGAGATTTAAAAAATAAGTAGATTTGTTCACGTTATACCTGTATCGTATAACGGTACACGTAGATTTCTTTATGGTATACCTGTATCGTATAACGGTACATGTAGATTTGGTTATGGTATTATACCTGTATCGTATAACGGTACATGTAGATTTGTTTATGTTATACCTGTATCGTATAACGGTACATGTAGATTTGTTTATGTTATACCTGTATCGTATAACGGTACATGTAGATTTGTTTATGTTATACCTGTATCGTATAACGGTACATGTAGATTTGTTTATGTTATACCTGTATCGTATAACGGTACATGTAGATTTGTTTATGTTATACCTGTATCGTATAACGGTACATGTAGATTTGTTTATGTTATACCTGTATCGTATAACGGTACATGTAGATTTGTTTATGTTATACCTGTATCGTATAACGGTACACGTAGATTTCTTTATGATATACCTGTATTGTATAACGGTACATGCAGATTTGTTTATGTTATACCTGTATCGTATAACGGTACACGTAGATTTGTTTATGTTATACATGTATCGTATAACGGTACACGTAGATTTGTTTATGTTATACATGTATCGTATAACGGTACATGTAGATTTGTTTATGTTATACCTACACCGTATAACGGTACAGGTAGATTTGTTTATGTTATACCTACACCGTATAACGGTACAGGTAGATTTGTTTATGTTATACCTGCATCGTATAACGGTGCATGTAGATTTGTTTATGTTATACCTGTATCGTATAACGGTACATGTAGATTTGTTAATGTTATACCTGTATCGTATAACGGTACATCTAGATTTGTGTATGTTATACCTGTATCGTATAACGGTACATGTAGATTTGTGTATGTTATACCTGTATCGTATAACGGTACATGTCGATTTGTTTATGCTATACCTGTATCGTATAACGGTACATGTAGATTTGTTTATGTTATACCTGTATCGTATAAAGGTACACGTAGATTTGTTTATGTTATACCTGTATCGTATAACGGTACATGCAGGTTTGTTTATGTTATACCTGTATCGTGTAACGGTACATGTAGATTTGTTTATGTTATACCTGTATCGTATAAAGGTACACGTAGATTTGTTTATGTTATACCTGTATTGTATAACGGTACATGTAGATTTGTTTATGTTATACCAGTATCGTATAAAGGTACATGTAGGTTTGTTTATGTTATACATGTATCGTATAACGGTACACGTAGATTTGTTTATGTTATACCTGTATCGTATAACGGTACATGTAGATTTGTTTATGTTATTCCTGTATCGTATAATGGTACACGTAGATTTGTTTATGTTATACCTGTATCGTATAACGGTACACGTAGATTTGTTTATGTTATACCTGTATCGTATAACGGTACATGTAGATTGGTTTATGTTATACATGTATCGTATCACGGCACATGTAGTTTTGTTTATGTTATACAGGCATCGTATAACCTTAAATAGAGATAACACAAAAAGTGATGACGTCGTTTACTGCGAAGATTCTAATATTAGCGTGCGGGATGTTTTAATGTGAGAGGAAACCGGAGTACCTGGAGAAAACCTACGTCATTGGGCAAGTGACCCCGTACCTATATTCAAGCCCGATTGGGAAATCCTACGTCGGTCGCCTTGGTGTAACCAGATTCTTATAGTTAGTTTAAACAGTAGTTATTGAATTTTCAAACATGTTAATTACATACATATAGTTTAACAGGGATTGGGGAATAACCTTAGGGCTTATATCATTTCCTCTCCTAGATTCTTGTAAAAATGCGACTGACACTGGGTATGTTCTTATACAAGATATCTCGAGTTTCAAACTGGAATTCGTCCTAACAATCTGTGAATGTCCCCATGTGTTAATAAAACCTATGTTCTCATGCCAGATCTTTCGTGTTTCAAACTGAAAATCATCCAAACAATCTTTGAAGGTCCATATGTGTTAACGAAATAAATTTATATTACGACTTGTCTTTTTACCGTGAAATTATTAAAGATTAATCCTCAAACTTACATTACATTTGTATCACTATATTTTCAAACATGTACTTTTATAACTTTGACTCTGCTGTATTCATTATTTCCTTTACTATGCCTCTATATTGTACGTAAGACTTCTGGTTACACACGTATACGAATGGTTACAGTGTAATTAAGTCCCTGAAACTTGTCATGCCAGTTGGAAGCAGCAATTGTGCAATGTATGCATGCATTATATTGTTGACTGCGTACTACCAATGTTTATTATATAAAACTTATATCTTTTGACCTTAAGCACCAATGATGGATCCTGATGTACTGAATGGTCTTATATATAGTGCAGTAACAAATATTCATGTTATTCAGTATTTAACATCGGTAAAAGATAATTTTTCATGAGGTGGTTTTATTCTTCGAAGTTTTACTTTTTGACATCACAAGGTTGTTGAATGTGTTTAAATTATCAGTTCATGAGATTAGCCTTGACCATGATGCTGGAATATATTTTGGTGTGTTTTACATAAAATACTAGCTAACGAACAGAATTAATGTTTGGCCAATAGTTGTAAATGTGATACGATGTAGACAGTTTGAGTCCGTACACAACGACGAAATCATAAATATATATCGACGAGAAACACAGAAGACGCGAAGAGGATACATAAGGTAATAAAATAAACTATTTTCATTTTACACAAGATATACATTTTAAAGGGTCATTATCCATGAATTTGTTTCCTGCTTATGTTATGTTTTTTATCTTGTGAAGATGTTTTATTTCATTTTCTATATGTTTAAGTCTGCCGCACACAGCCATTCATCAACGCTCTACACTTACCATAACAAGGAATAACAACTAAACTACAGTGAAACCTTATCAAAATTTTATTAAATAGAAAAAAATCTCCTCTGAAAGCAAAACTATTATCTTCGCTTACAATTATTTTTACACTTAAAGCACAGCGCGAGTGAAACAGTAAATATCATAAGGACACATAAGAATGCATACGAAGCAATGATTTGGTAGGCAGCGAAAAGGTACACAGTTCGGTCGCACCAGTTACGGGGCTCGTGTAGTAACTGTTTATAATGGGGCTCCCAAATATCAAACACCCAAAACGTTCCCGCCACAAGCCAGGCAAATAAAAATGTAGTCAGCATCACATCCATCATCCGGAAGGTTCGTGACGCAAATGCGCCGTCGCCTTCATGCGCATCGTAAAACGAATCTAGTTCTTCGTAACGTTTGCTTTTAATGTTATGCCACACTGTTCCAATAATCTTGACCATGCCGAAACATCCACCAACCAACAGGTACACGGGAATCCTCCTCTGTCGTGGACATTCGTTGAGGTATTTCACACCTGTTCAATATAAACGTTTCATAAAACAGTGATTCTTATTTAAACAAGAGAAATATGATATTATTTGCGGTTTATATTTGTCTAATTAGTTAATAATTATGTGTTATAATGAAATGTAGATTAAAAAGCGACAGAGTTTAGTACCCAGCAAACAGGGTGAGAAGTGAGACGTGAGACGTGAGACACGTGAAACGTGAGACGGGAAGATAGAACATTAACACGTGTATAGTCTGTTCTACATTTTCTTTGATCCATCATCTACACTTTGCGAGTTGTCTATCTTAGACAAAGCATGGACTGATAGTTATTTGTTGAAGCTGGTTGATACTGCGTGTGTCGGTAGTAACACAGTGTCCTTGCTGATCATTACATTGTGTATGATGATATTTGTACTTCTTCACTTGACAGTAAAACATGAATTGTTGAACAAGCATCTTACAAATCCTTAAGTAGACGATTTTGCTTGAGAATTTAATAGAAGATCCCTCGCATCGAGTACATCTGTGCTTAAACTTCGGGTTTTTCAGTCATGACTTTGAACGTAAACCTCCGATGTAACTATTTGTAATATAAAACGATAGCTTTATCCCCACTCGTATGTCTTAGTGGGGGACATATACCTCGTTTTGATCGTACAAGCCATTTCAAAATAACAAGATTTACGTAATGTCGGTTCATATTTATCCTCGTGAATATCAATTCTTTCTGCATGTTCCCTTCAAGACGTGAACCAGGAGGATGATAAACACACTTAAACAGATCAGTGGGTAGATCCTCTACCGACCCACAATCTACTTACCGACAGATAGCATGGTGATTGGTAGCGCCGTAGATATCCCCACGAGCACGATAATGAAAGCTGCATACAAAAAAAAAAATAGAAAAGAAAATATACAAAATAATTAAACATACTGCCGCCAGTGAAAAAATAGCTGTGTCACAATATCCACGCACACCTATATTGATACTGGGTAACATACCTATATTAGAGGGAGAGGGCGTTTCTCAGTTGAGATAACTTGTGCCTAATCCTTTTTGTTGAATGACAAATAAAATATAAACTTATATTAATATTGGAATACATATTTATATTGAATAACAAAGACAAGTTGTGCGGGGAGACGTTGAATTGAACAAAGTCAGCACCCAAGGCGTCTATGACAGATGTGGAAAGAGTGGATAAGGATGACATCTCTTATTCAGCCGATATGTTAATTAGATTGCACATGAAGTACACAATAAAAGATACATAATTACGTCAAATATACATATAACATGTGTATGTCTATTTTTACAACTATAATTTATAATAAAACAACTAACTGGTTTAAATACCCCGAGAATCCTTAACTAAGCAGCACGAAAGACGGACCTATCCGAATACCAAATGACAATTGACAAGGTAAAGGGTTCACTCTATGCGTCGTTTCCGAGATATAAGATTCCGGAAACGTGATTTGGCAGTCACGTTGTACATTAAGAGGCCATGTGTACTTCTGATTTAAAGGTAATTCGTAAGCAAACCAATTTCGTTGAAGCAAATTTGGACGAAAATGGAAGAAATTTCGCATCCTTCAAGAAAGGGTAATCTACTGTCTACTGACGAGTATACAATGTCTGTACTCTGTTTTTAGACATGTAGTCTAGTCGCGCATACGAGCTTTTTGCATAACCACCCCCTCCTACGCGCTATCACGACGAGAAAAAGTATTTCGAAACGACATATTTGCTAACGTTGCTAATCTACAAATGTGCGTGTTTTCATATCAATGATTGTGTTGGTGTTCAGTGATAGACTGAACGCTTAAGTTTTAGCAAAATGTAATTTGTACAACAAGTGTGACCATACAGTGTTGAGTCGTTCTGTTTGTTTTTATGCTGTTTCCATGAATATAATTGAAATAGTCATCACTGTACAACGAAATAGATATCGTCATTAAAAACGCCGACCGTTTCTGTGATTTCCATGGAAACAAATTCCTTTAGCTACAACCTGTTGCATTGAAGAAACATCACAGTTTTTTTAAATTTTATTTTTGAAGATATCTTTGTCTCGCATGTGCAATAATTAAATGTGACCTCTTGGCGACTCAGTAATATTTGAGTATTTCAGCAACAGCCATGCATTTTCACCATTTTCCTCAATTTTTCCCCACATAGAACACACACACACCCCTGGAAATTTGGAACCCCCACACCACCACCACCCAGATAGGTCTGTGGATCCGCCACTGCTAAGCTGTGAGCCACTACAATGTATATGTCTGACTTGTGTGATAGCAATGTGTCTCAAATGAGTAAAGACATGATGTCTTCGTTTCTTTATGCCAACTGTAAGTCTTATCTGTGTGATAATTATACGTCTCGAAAGTGCATGAGCATAGCAATATGATACACGGTAAATACTTCTGAATTACGTATATGGCAACTGTATGTCTCATATATGAAATATACTTAAGGAATGATTTTATTTTGTTTTGCAACATTCACGAGGTCATAACAACATTGTCTTTTCGGACACATGTCCAGCAAGCCAATGTTGTTATGACCTCATGAATGTTAAAAAAACAAAGTCATATTTCTTAAATTTACATTTTTAACCGCTTTGAATATTCCGATGCAAGCATAAATAAATAAATATGGGCATTGTTTTCTATTTATACATTGGGGCAACGCAGTAGAGAGTACAGCTTGTTTTCGCGGGGAAAATATCAAACTTCTGTTGGTGGTCCTAGCAACAGCATGGCAACAAAACAAACAAAATATAGTTGCTTTTTCAAATTCAATTTGTAGATATTATACAAGTGGTATATTATTATCGTGTACTTTACACACCTTATTAAAGCTTTAAAATCAAGTCAATTCTGTTTGATACTAATTCATATTAGCATAATAAAACTAAATTGAGGACTGTTCCACGGCGGACGTGAACCAAATACGCCATGTGCTTCGTCATTTTAGTGTATCAATACGCAGTGATGAGGCATTTTCGTCAATGGGTCCAAGCATACAGAATGTAAATATATATACTGTGCATGTATGTTTGACTGATATAATGATAATTATGATTGTCTCACCTGTATGACAAATAAGTCTGCCACTCCGACAGATAAAATCACAGGTACTTGTCGCCTCTGTATTGGCTTCTTGTATCTGTATAAATATAGCACCGTAACCTCCCTGTTCCGTATCCACCGATTTTCCCCTGGAGGACCAGCCAAGTGCTGTTTTACAAAGTTCTCGTTGATCATCAAACGACTGCAAATATAAGATATAAGTTTTAAAAAGTAGCACAAATATTTCTGTCGAAATTGTGTATAATGCATTTAGCTCTTTTAGTCCTATTCTATTTTCATGTTCGGTTTTTTTTGTGTTTTTTTTGTAAATGTGCAGTGAAAAAGTATCACGTCCGATTAAATTTTTAGACAAAAGTATAATGTATATATCCAAATGAGGAAAGACATGTGAAAAACAAAGATGACAGTTTCACTCTGAAGAAAATGTCTATTGTTTCTTTTTCCAACTTTAAGGCATCGTCCTTCTATTACGATACCTTATACACTGTTTTCTACATTATACACAAGGTCACAGACAACACGACACTTTCACGAGACGATAAAGCCGTAATTATTGTAAAGGATATTACCGAACTGCTTACAAAAATACAATTATATTTATTATTCCAGCTATATAAACATTCCCCGTATCAAACTTCCTGTCAGGTGATTGCCGCTGTCACCGACATGGTTCTTATCTTAATGGTAATGTTTTCGTAACATTTCACGGATAGAATTCATTTCAGTCACTCATTATAGACACAGCAGAGCTTATTCCGAAACTCAGGAGGAGGTTCCGAACGTCAACAAAATAATTAGATATCGATAAAATGTGCTGTGCCGGTATTACGTTTGGCAGAAGGTCGACATTTGATTAGATGTTATAATTGATCTTTGCACTTAATCCAAAACACAACGGACTCATTTAATTATATGTTTTCGTATCATTTTGTTATTTTTGAACAACAAAATCATTTCAGTTTTCGATGTGGAAATGATTAAAACAGCAACTTGTCGTCAACTACCAGCCTTAAAAAAACCCAAATAGACGCCATTACAATTCCATTCCTTTGTCGTTTGAGGATAGTGCAATTTTTGTGGGATAGTAATGTTTTAATGTGATAATTTAATCAGTTATATGTATCAACAGAATCACGTTTAACACTGTGGGACCCGACTTTATTATCATTACCGCCTTTCTAGATCGGTTTTGTTTTACAACCATTTGAACAAATTACGACTTCGATGCACGATATTTGTTATCTCAAGTTTAAATATGGCATTCATTTCGTGTGTGAGCGTGATATTCTATTTCAGATTCTTGCGAATCGTTTCAATGAATCATCACCCCCAATACACACAATCATCAAATCACCAAAACCAGTATCATATTATTACATTCAGCTTTAAAATTTGAAAAATAGTTTCGTAGAAAATAGAAAGCAGTTATGAATGTATAGTCATTATTGTAAAGCTACATCAATTGCACGTTTTTCTTAGTTTTTTTTTATCTAAACATATCTGATATTGTCAACACAGTATTTTACTATCTAAATATATAAACTGTTCACAAAGCTGGTATTTTTCAGGTAACCATGGCAGCCGAATCGCATACTGATATGTTGATGATATGTCTCAGGTTTTTATAGCGATTTTAACTGATTGAAATGAGTGCTTATGTATTACTTATAAAAACATTAAGAATAATATATACAAAATTCAGATTGTGTAAGCTTAAACGTAAACAAGCAATGGGAAGATTACGGAAACACTCCAGAGAACAAAGATTAGGCAAAAATGTCTTGTTCTAGAAGATGAGGACTATTTATTCTTTGGGTATGACTGAAAAATGACTATTAAAACAAATTATTCAATATGATTCTATGCTTAACACGAATACTTTAATACCAATTGTATCTACTGAAAATATTCAACGTATGCTTGGTTCTTGCTTATTCATAAACAATCACTTGCACTGGTGGGAGTTCCCATTGTAGGTTGTTTTGTTATTTGCCTTCATGTTACTATGTTACTATGTAACTATGTTACTATGTTACTATGTAACTAAAAATGAGCAATAAAATATTAAATTGAATTGAATTAAACTAATGCACAAAAGAACAAACATCTTGTTTGTCGTTGGTGCTCCATAACTGAAACCCAAGAATTGGTAAACATGTGGCGTTTTCATTCTATCAGCATTAGGCTAGAATCTCCTGACCGTTGGGATCTAAAGTTCCGCGCTAATCTTGTCGTCTGATCATCCCAGTGATTGACGCTGTGGGATGATATCGTACGACTTCCAGTGATTATCTTCTTGTATGCTATCCACGATGTGTCGCTGTCGTCACTCTGGTGCTTATTTGTTATGTGATATTGTGGAGGTGGATATGACGGATTAACAAATATATTATGTGACTGATTACACAAAACGTCAACGACTACAGTCATATTCAATTTACATATTCAACGTATATGAACTTAATCAAGTGGGTTAAGTAATAGTTTGATAACGGGGCTTATAGTTAACATTATTTTTTTTTAATTATAAACGTAATTTTTCCCCAACTTAGCATATGTCTTTATATAATTTTACCAATCACTAACGCTATATACGGCCGATAACACGTTCAACGGTATCGATAACAAATATAGGTCCAATGACAAACTTCACACGGAATTGTATATATATTTCTTAGTGCACGTGTCCTTAATGCTTTAATTTTAATACATCGTCGGTGCAATCTAATAACAAATCATGCCGATGCTAACATAAAACGTAAATTAGTTGTCACATGTGTTATAGTTCACATACAAAGCGCATCTGTATATGTCTCCCGTCTTGTCCACGTTATCTCCGAACACACGGCTCTTCCTTTGTCTTAAATATATCTGCAGTTATGGATACGGTGATGTGATTTGTGTGTTTGAAAGTGTTATGGATGGCGGACTAAACTATTAATCGGATTTTCTCTTATGCACAAGAGGACTTTCTATCAGAATATAAAAGTTGACAATTCCCGGAATGTTGTTGCAACGCTATTTGCAATTTGACATTTTATGGATGTCATCTTATTCTGTTGTTGAAAACGCTAAAGTTGAAAAGTATTTTTACGTCTTCATAAACAATTGAATAGCCCTTGTTGGGCTATAATTCAGTGGATCTATGCATTTTAATCAAGATTAGGAAGAGTAGCATTATAGAACATAGCATTATATCATGTCGGTTTACAAACCAATCTCTGAACATTTATGTCAATTATTACATTATGTGTTCCGTTAAATAGCTATTTTACAGTACCTAAACGTCGATATTGTATTTCAAATTAACAATACGTGTTTAACAATATAACAATACATTTCATCCTATCTTATCCAAAGATTGCATACTTAAGAAACCTGTACAGAAAATAAGGCGTCACTACATTAATATCCACTCATATTCCGAATGGATGTTTGATGGGAGATTGTTTTGGTGTTTTGCACATCGTATGTTAGCAGTATGACATTTTGTAAAATACCTCTTACTTATGTCGAAAACAAGATTTATATCGTAATTACTGGTCAAGCAATTTTGAGAAGTGTTTTAATTTCGGCATGTTAGATGTTGGTATACTAAAAGGATAAGTCGAGCAGTTATAAGTTAGTTTTTGATAACCGTGGCGATTCATATTCGGATAGAGTTATTTATAACATGCTGTTACGTGTATACCATTGTCACAGTGTTTACGAAATCTCTATGTAATGATGATTGGTAAGAGGGTATAATTAGTTGTTTTATTGAATAAAGCAGGGAGCATACATTTGTTTGTAAGGACTCCTAGCCTTCTATGTGGTTGTCGTTCGTGTGGTAATGGATTATAATTAGACAGGATTACAAAGACTGTCTCTTAAATTCAGGCAATTATGTAGCATACATATCATTTGAGTATAAACTAATGAATTAACCGTTTAATCGATACTACTAGCTAAACAGCGAAATAACACCAAAACATAAAATATGGAATCGTCTATTTAACATTTACAGTCGAAACAGAAATCCAAAAAAAGTTAACATTTTAATAGCACCATATGATTATTTGTCAATTGATAGCACCATATGATTATTTGTCAATTAATAGCACCATATGTTTATTTGTCAATTACTAGCACCATATGATTATTTGTCAATTAATACCACATCAGTGGTACTTCAGATCTTGGCTCGTATTTATGAAACTGTTCTAACGCTCAAGCTTAACAATTGAACAGACTTCAAGCCAAATACTCATTGTTTACAAGGAATTTGGTTTGAGCACATAATCCATGCTTGATCATGATGTAAGTAAGTTAAAAAAAAACTAGATTGATAATTGAGTACTGACAATAATACATGCTTTCGGAAATGTTTGTATATTTTATATTCTATCTTATAATTGTCATGTTTGAGTGTACATATAGCAATACTTTTATTGAGGCGACTAATGTTTGTTGATATGTAACGAAAGTTACATGTACACATACATATGCTCAATAATCTCTTCAACATCAAACCATCATTTTATACGCTGTAGGAATCAATGTTAGGCTGAAGAATAGGTTTGCACTGAGACACAGCAATGCAGATTACAAAACAGCAACACCCTACCTAACCTTTTGTAGGAAGTCCCCATAGACACTTGGCCTCAGAACCTTTCACACGATTCTTTCGCGAAATAATATCGAATATGTTAACATGTTATCCCTCTTTACCGCTACATGTGTACCCCTTCGTTTAGACGCAGTTTTAACGAAATATCTAGTTAAACAAACACCACACATGACAAGCATTCGCGCTAGCATATACTACAATATATACATGTATTCATAAAAATACATTTTTTGTTTACAGATAACTCCTCCCCATACACAAGCCATATTGTAAGTTAGTAACTTATTACATATTTGCAAAGCTAAACAGATTATTATGTGCTATATTACTCTTCACTGCACGTGCTTATCCCATTGTCAGTCAATTAGTACTAATAATTCTGTAAAAATATAAACTCAGTTAAACCGAATACACCAGCGATAACAAATACAAGCTTATTGGCAAACATATCACTCTTAGTGAAAAATAGAAGCAGTAAATGACAATAGGGAATCGTAACCTGCAATTAACATTCCCCCTAAAGAGAAGAAGGGGATTGCCGTACATATCACTTATATGCGTTTTTACCCTTAAATGCCTTTAATAGTGGAAATGTCACAGAAAGGTGCCAAAAAGCTTTGCACGCATTTTGCACCCATGTACCTTGCATCCATTACAATACCGAGCTTGTGATGTGTCCTACATTTCTTTATCGTATCCTGGCACCACAACATTTGTTTTGGCCCGACGAGGCACTTGCTTTTCTTTCTCGAATAATTTCCTTTGATTAAGTGTTTCTAACAGAATGTCTGTTGATCTTTGCAATCATAAAAGCTATTACTGCTGTCCTTGCTAGTGTGGCAAATATACTTTATAATGTTACACATGGATCGCTCGATTGTATAAACGGCAAACAATTTTATAGGTCATACCTGGCCTAATGGTTTCACTACTATCTTAACGACTCAACATATTTTTTTCTAATATAAGGTTACACGGTAATCTTGACGGACCATCAACCAAAAAAGGTTACACATGGTCATACGGTAACTTTAATGGTAAACGACCCCGTTATGTCATATGAGCCACACAGTCATCTTAACGACCCACTAGGTAGACCAGGTAGGTTTGTCGTTAAAGCTATCGCGTGTGACTTCATAAGGTTTGTGGGTCTTTTAGAGTACCGTTTGTCCCTGTATGACCTTATTAGGTTGTTTTTTTACCATAATAATACCATGATACCGTATCGGAATTCCATTTGTTCAGTGTTTGTATATCTTTACACAGATAGATATATCAGCTTTCATTATTTAATGTCACTCCCAGACAAAATTACGTTTTATTATCATTTTGATACAAAGTATATGATTAAAAGGTAAAATATCATGCTACATTTGTAACGCAAGTAACTTTATTATGGATCGACTCCTAGTTCTAACCATGTTTTAAGTATTCTATGTATATGGACATCACGATTAAAGGAGAGTACTACATGAGGTCATTACTTACAACAACGGTATTTGCAAGGCTTCTTGATGGCGAGCTTTGACAGGCATTTTCGGCTTTTATAGCACCAACTGGTGTCGACGATCCCTTGTAACTACCGTAGCTCCCAGTAGATTTTGTACTTCCGGTCGATATCCCTGTGGAACTAGAGGAATGCATCCTCCGTCCCGAACCCCTTTTCAATGAACCTCTGTTCTTCCTTACCATCGTGCCCTTCCGGACCAACATCGACATTCTGTGAGAGTAACGTCAGCACCTGGGCACCAGCGGACCTGTAATCACGAATGACAGGATTACTACTGTATGGCATCATAGCTGTTCATTGTCGGCGACGTGGGCGAGTAGACAATAATATGCATGCATTCACCTTTATACAATATAGTTGTGTTAACGACATTCGATGTATAAGCTGAACGAGTAATGTCGACATTACTTAGAATAATGAGATTCTCCCACATCATTTCCAAGACATTAATTCCAATTTCTTAAGAATTATTTTAAGAAATGTTTTATACTGTTTTAAAATGTTAATTCATCAAACCAAAATTTCCACTGATTGCTAGTGGCGACTATATCATGACATACGATCAATATAGACATATATGTTTCGGGATTATACACCTACATTGTACACGGCTTTCGCGACGTCGAGGTTCAATAAATGTCAAATAAAAATTAACAATCACGTTTCTATCATTGACGTATGATTGACCTAAAAACACCTGCTCTGGACAGTAAAATGATTTCATTAGTCCACACATTGGCTGTAAAATATACTGTGTCGTTTAAATAATCTCCGTAAAACATTACTTGTTGTTTTATGTCTGTCTCCGGCCTTAACCTACAATAATAACATTCAATTCACTTCTAATTGAGATTAAAAATACCGCACACCTACTTGGTACAGGCAGACTGTTTTCAGTTTCATAGATGGCGAGCTACTTACGACACTCCTGAACACTTTCATGTTAGGACGAATTAACGATTCACTAGTTTTGTCTGTTTTTGGTTCGTTGAAATACTGCAGTTGATTGCGCAACAACTTTGTACAACACAGCGCTGCTATTATGTGCGGAGTATTTCAACAACGAAAAATATTTTCAAATGATAAATAAGTGTAATACTGTCATATCTGTATGTATATATTGGCTAAAATGAAATATATGCCTATCACATGTTTTATTTTGATATATTACTTCTTCATTTACTGTCTCATTAACATTGGCTATTTTGCAGGTTTTAATGAGACGCTTGCCTTATTGGACAAAATCAATATTCGTGAAATTGAACTGCATATTCTTTAATTATCCATGTCCCTCTCATGTTTTTTTCGATCTTTCCGAACACCATTTGTGTTGTATTTCAGCGGGTTTCTTGTGTTCGAGGACATTGTTGTCCCATGGGAGTATCGTAATGTTATATCTGCCCTTTTCACATTTGAAGATAAGGTAGTTCAATTCTTTCTTCTCCTAATCAACTTTTCAATTAGCCCGCTAACTAACATGACTGTGACACACCACATTTCTCTGTGTCCAATTCCTATGATGTCATCAATGCTGACTACATGCTCAGATACTGTTTTTGTCGGGTAGTCTATCTCATAACAATCAGAATACTGACATTTTCCCTAAATCCTCATTGGTCAGATCGTCATCACGTGGTGATAGATGATCTGTGATATTGATTCGGTGTTACTATTTTAAGGAAAAGCAGATTTAAATTCTATTTGTGACGTCAGTTCAAATGTAACGTTACACTATTCTCTGCAAAATGCATTCCTCCCGCCCGTGCAATTTTTTACGTGTTCTACCTGTTTTAATCATTTAAATATTATATAGCATCTCATATAACAATTAAGGACTTTTATTTCGGTGAATATATGATTATTTGTATCTGAGAAGATGATATTGATCTGTCTCCAAGATTCAGCGCTGACCACATATGATCTTATATTAATATGGAACAGATCAAAGTCATTGTTGTTTCTCGGCAATTGTACATTATGTTGTTATAGGCGGTATTTTAGTTTCCAGATTTCAATTTCAGGCGTGCTTCGCATCAACCCACGAGTTGTTAAGTGTAGACTCGTATATCCATGTTCTTAAATGTCATAGCTGTCATAACTGGAACCTATTATCGTACCTTTAATTACTATGTTCTGATGTGGTCAATGCGCTGTCGACGATTGATTTATTAAGATTCCTTCCCATTTTCACCTATATAAGGCTACAATGAAACGCTGTGTGTGATATACTTAAGTTTGTGATATGTCCATCACATGATCTCTTCGACACTACATGTGCAAATATACTTAAATAACAGTATTAATCACTCAATATGCTAGACAATAAACGTGCTATACATGTAATATCCTCACTCCTAAACGTGAGATACTGAGTAAAAAAGATATCAATCACGCAATATCATCACTCCAAACCGTAAGATACTTAGATAAATAAGATATTAACCACGCAATATCCTCACTAATTAACGTGAGATACTGAGGTAAATAAGATATTAACCATGCAATATCCTCACTACTTAACGTGAGATACTGAGGTAAATAAGATATTTACCATGCAATATCCTCACTACTTAACGTGAGATACTGAGGTAAATAAGACAAAACATTGTACTAACCATCCAACATCTTGTTTACTATATTGAACTAGTATTTGATACTTTTATAGCCTGGACGCTGTAGGAAAGACATTTGATTCTGGGTTCAATAAACCACATAATCTTATAGCCGCTGTTCATGAAATACAAAGCCGCCGTTATATATCAGAATAAGTATTTCACCAACCGTACACGCACTTTTAATTTAATAAGATATTGGATTTATTGTCACTTCCCTTAATAGAACTGAAGGGACAATAACTCAGTTTCCACAAGCAACGTTGAGAACCTACCTTTATGGTTATACTCTACATGCTATCCGAAGGTGCTTATTTTTTCCAACAGTATATAATATATAATATTAATATATCTAATAGCCATACATCCCTTTACTTTTGCTGAAGGCTACATAACAGAATAGGGCTGAAGCTAATCCCCAAAGTTAAGTTTTGGACTGAGGCTAAGGCTCTGTGAATAATGCACGAGACAGACGGTTAACGTTATACAGCAGCCACGCAATCTCGTGGGATCGAACGCGCTCATGGAAAATTAGGTCGTCCGTCATTACACAACATGACGTAACTGTGTATTAGACGAAGTCTATGCCTTAAACTAAGCAATTACCAAACCGTTTATGTTGCCTTGATCATTCTTTGAACAGACCACAAGGGCCCGGATAATTAAATTCTCCGCTTTTCTGCAACATTCGCCGCCTGAGGTGAGAAAAGAAAACCGCTGGGTTTTATCACACGTAGTAAACTGAGATATGTTATTGCTTGTTTTTAAGGATTTGTCATTTCCCTCTCCTAGGGATGATTTACAAACAGCCTCTGTCAAAAACAGAAATAAAGAAAACTATATTTTCCTGTTTTAATTAAGGATTTTAGTGCGGAAAAGACAGCGACATACATTTCATTGCTAATAGGCGTTTTTCGTTTAAACTGTATCTTATTTGGAAACACACATATATAGAATGGAAATGCATTTTCGATATATTATCTAATTGGGACAGTAAAAATCGAGAGAAATGAGATGTTACATTGTAAATGTATGACAAGTCTCTTAAAACAAATATGGTATGATGTGTGAAACAGAGGCATGGCTCCTGTATACATAGGAAACAGAGGCATGGTTCCTGTATAAAATGTACATAGGAAACAGAGGCATGGCTTCTGTATACATAGGAAACAGAGGCATGACTCCTGTATACATAGGAAACAGAGGCATGGCTCCTGTAAACATAGGAAACAGAGGCATTACTCCTGTATACATAGGAAACAGAGGCATGGCTCCTGTATACATAGGAAACAGATGCATGGCTCCTGTAAACCTAGGAAACAGAGGCACGGCTCCTGTATACATTGGAAACAAAGGCATGACTCCTGTAAACATAGAAAACAGAGGCATGGCCCCTGTATACATAGGAGCCAGAGGCATGACTCCGGTATACATAGGAAACGGAGGCATGGCTCCTGCATACATAGGAAACAGCGGCATGGCTCCTTTATACATAGAGAACAGAGGCATGACTCCGGAATACATAGCAAACAGAGGCCTGGCTCCTGTATACAGAGGAAACAGAGGCATGCCTCCTGTATACATAGAAAATAGAGGCATGGCTCCTTTATACATAGAAAACAAAGGCATGACTCCTGTAAACATAGAAAACAGAGGCATGACTCCGGAATACATAGCAAACAGAGGCCTGGCTCCTGTATACATTGGAAACAAAGGCATGGCTCCAGTATACATAGCAAACAGTGGCATGGCTCCTGTACACATAGGAAACAGAAGCATGGCTCCTGTATGCATAGGAAACAGAGGAATAGCTCCTGTATACATAGCAAACAGTGGCATGGCTCCTGTACACATAGGAAACAGAGTCATGGTTCCTGTATAAAATGTCCATAGGAAACAGAGGAATAGCTCCTGTATACAGAGGAAACAGAGGCATGCCTCCTGTATACATAGCAAACAGTGGCATGGCTCCTGTATGCATAGGAAACAAAGGCATGGCTCCAGTATACATAGGAAACGGAGGCATGGCTCCTGCATACATAGGAAACAGCGGCATGGCTCCTTTATACATAGAAAACAGAGGCATGACTCCGGTATACATAGCAAACAGAGGCATGGCTCCTGTATACATAGGAAACAGAGGCATGGCTCATGTATACATAGGAAACAGAGGCATAACTCCTGTATACATAGAAAACAGAGGCATAACTCCTGTATACATAGGAAACAGAGGCATGGCTCCTGTATACATAGGAAACAGAGCAGTACCAATCTTTAGGCGGTAAAGTTAAAAACCAATATATCTCTTTTCTGAGAGATATCTAATATTGCATTTGATTATGGTAATATTTGGATCTAGAGGCGATATCATTATACATCATTAGGTTCATTGTTATGCTAAAAGTGCATTGTCATAGACTTGTTGGCGTAGAAGTGTGTTGTCACGTTCTCATTCTTCAGTCGTTGTGTATATTACTTTCCGATCTCATGTAAATTACTCTATGCGCTTAGCATGCAAGGGGTGATAGACATATTTATTCGATACAATCAACGATTGTTTTCCTCAAGTGCGTCTTATCACGGGATTCTTTTTTACCCCTATATGTGGTATCTGCTTGTTCATGTCGAGTCGTCAACATATAAAGGTAGTGTAATACTACTCAAACTCGACAACATATGGACCGTAACCAACCCCAGACTGTATCCTATATACCAATCCAGGCAGTCGTAGTTGAGCAAACAGGTAAAGTGTCTTGCTTAAGGACACGACTACATCTTGCCGTCTGAACACACAACTTTACTTTGATCCCAAATATAAATAGTCTCTTATTTTACATGAACCTAATCGTAATAGACAATTGACCTTTAAAACAGGGTTTTTCAAAATGGTATAGAAGTGATTCATCGACCAGATCGTGCATATCCACGAGTGTCTATAACTTTAAATGATGGCAATGAAAGACGGATTCGAAGCTCGACAGATACACCATACCAAGCAGATAGGATGGATTCGAAATATTACAAACTTTTCGAAAATCGTATGACAGCCAGGTGTTGAGCCTGTATGTGCCACTTATACTAACAAGTTCTCCGTACCACTACCAAAGCCTTTCACTATGCATTTGAAACTATTTCCCGACAATGTTTAGCTTTGATAAATGTATAAAGATCAAATAAACAACAAACATCAGTGTTCTGAATGTCTACAAAGATCCAACAAGGGCCAAGGATAGACTATGATCAATAATGGCATAACTTTTTTATTCTCAACTTAAACCAGATTTGCGTAACATATCCACTTTATGAAACTAAAATATTGCAATAACATCATTTGTATGTACGTTATCAAAATAACAAGTTAAATGATCTGTATGTAAGAAACTTCAGATTCTTGTCAGTATACACATTGATAGTTTTAGTCAAACATGTTGAATCTCTTTATGGGAAAGGATTGTTTGGGCAGTGTTTCGTCAATATCGTTTCGTTGTATGCACACAGAACACAAGAAATATAATAAAATGCATCCAGAAGTGTTCCTTTGTAGAATAAAAACATACAAATTGAACCCAATGAACCACTTTAAGTATATCTCAAGTAGTTTGCATATCCTTTAAACAAACAAGCTACATATTCAAAAAATAGGCCAATATGAGGATTACATTAACTCTAAATGCAAAACCATGTTCAATATATATATCCCCTGGGGAGATTAGTTACCGATATTCAATATACTTCACGTTTAGTTTAGTTTAGTTAACTATCCTATATGCTTTTCCTATAACCTACATTGTACATAATATGTACCGAAGGGCATGGCGGCAGTCGAGAATTTTCTGCTAAAAATGATGTATTGATATTTCAAATAAAGAACAAGAGTAAAGTTTGAGGCAGACTCTGATTGTTGCTGATAAAATGTCTTGAATTTCGACTGAAAGTGCAAGCTATTCATGTTACTGAAGTAAAACAGACGGAATACAGTAACAGACTGCGACGCTATATCGGCATTTGTGAGCAAATTAAGTACAATATCTGACAAAGCGTTTTCACTTCAAAATATTTTTTCCCAAGCTTACAAACACGATGATATCCATGTACATCATATTTGCAGTGTTTCATAATGTTGACATGCAATCAGGTTGTGTTAACTTGACGCTTAACATTAAAGAAAATGTTCATCATTTTAACGACACAAAATACAAAACTACATATATGTTCTTTGCTAACCAGTGAAGTTTATAAACTTACGTACAATATACCTGTAACATATATCTCTTCCGACTACTCCAATGTTTCGCATTTTATAAGTACCTTGTGGTCCTGGCTCATGAGAGTATACTTTAGTTAAAATTTTGACAACACGACATTTAATGTAAGAGTTTACTTGATCGCCAACGGGAGTAAATAATATGTCCTTAGAGTACCCGTAAGGGCTGAAGCGCCCTTTCGTTTCAACCGATGAAATAGATTCCACTGGATGATAACAAGTGAAACGCGTTTACAGAGTACATGAACTACGAAAACGGTTATAGAGTGAGTCAGCATACATTGGCGTGTAGAAACTGACCATCTCGTACTTGGTATTTCAGAAATGTGTAAGTATTATAAAGGTTAATGATAACCAGTCATTGTTTTCGGCGACATTTCCCCGACCCAATGTACCCCTGTATTTTCAGAGGTTACGCTCACATACGTGCACCCATGGAATATGTAATGTCAAAAATGGAAGTCTCAGTACACGTTACCTTTTTCATGATACTGTTAGATTAGTTTGATGTTTTGAAGCACATCAAAAGAATCGCACGACAACAGGGCGTTACAACTGTCCGTCTTTCTGGTAGGGTGTTGCTGTTTTGTAATTTTGATATTTGTCAGACTATTGATTTGTCTAGTTTTTTTCCTGAAACCAATCAAATCACTAACTTCGTGACTTCATCTATTGCTTGACACATTCAAGTCGTGCAGAGGATTTATAGGTCTCTTCAAAATCCTAATTTGTTACGTAGGAGTTATGGTCAAGGTAAAGCTGTCATAATGCAGGGATATACAGTTATGGAAATATGTTGGCGTTGCCATAGTTTTATGGACGCCGTTTATTATACCGACTGGCAGATATATTTGTGCCCAGGTTTCCAAATTATGGGCAGTGAATTTGAACCAATTCCGACCCATCTCCGGTTACTCAGTTCCGTTCGTGTATTAAAGTTTGAGTGCAATATAACAGATTCAAATGTACCCGTAAATAAACGTTTATTCTAATGGACTTATTTCAGATAAGAGTAACTTATTTAACATGTCTGTTTACTTTCAGTAAAAACATAATAGCGGAATTAACTCCTCTGAATAACTTTGACCTCAGAAAGACATTATAATAATACTTTGGAGGATGTAAGAATATAAACATCGAAGGGACTTCTGAATGTGGACCCGAATACTCAGGATGTTTGACCTCGAATGGACCTGATGTAGTTAAAGTAGGTAACGATATGTTGTTAACAGCGAAACTCCGTATGCTAACCTCGTAGGGTAACCAGAATGTTAACTTGACAAAATTCATAATACTGACCTGTACGGGGCGCTGAAACAAACTGCCTCCGAAAGACATCAGATTGGACACCTTAAACGTACATAAGAATATCTAGCTCGGTAGAACGTGATACTGGAACATTTGATAGCCGTACTTGGCGACTTGTCTTCGCTTTTGATGAGGCCTAATGTACTGATGAGCGTATCAGGACTGGTAACAAAAACCATGTGTTTCAATTTACTTGCCGATATATCGACGAAAAAGATCGAAAAATAATCGGTTTTACCCCTTTAAGAATAGACTTGCAGTCAGAAATGTCTTAATTCATGGCAAAAATAGAACAAGCCTTAACACGGTCTTATTTTCTCTCTGAATTATTATCGCACCGTGCAATATACATAAAATTGTAATAAATTTAACTTAACTGCTTGAAATATAAACAACCAACTTGCTTAAAGTGAAAATGCGTTATCTGTAAATATATTAATAAGTTAATTTAAGTTATTGATATATTTACAGATAACGCATTTTCACTTTAAGCAAGTTGGTTGTTTATATTTCAAGCCATGAATTAAGACATTTCTGACTGCAAGTCTATTCTTAAAGGTCCATGCCCCTGTTTCCTATGTATACAGGAGCCATGCCTCTGTTTTCTATGTATACATGAGCCATGCCTCTGTTTCCTATGTATACAAGAGCCATGCCTCTGTTTCCTATGTATACAGGAGTCATGCCTCTGTTTCCTATGTATACAGGAGCCATACCTCTGTTTTGTACAATACACACCAGGATCATATGCAATATAATTTATATGAAAAAGTTATATAAACGGAATAAGCAGCAAGACCGAAGGAATAATGTTTACTTGACGTTTATACCGATAGTCTATGTCTCATCATCAATCGCGAAACAAGTCGTCAAACACTGTCAGTCGGGAACTTGTGAACTTTCCAACCGTTTTAGAGTTGTTTTAAAGTAGAATCTGGTCGTTTCTTGTCTATACTTACTCCGTCGTTTAACTCATGCCTGACGATACTTCATTAGCACCACAACCACCAGGACGCTCTATAATTACGACAGTCTCGTAGTCAGTCGGCCGATCGTAAGATCAGTCCAAACGTATGATCAAGCCAGCTTGTCCCCCTTGCCCTATCTTAGTACTGTTAATAGCATCACGGGATTCCGGTCGTAGAACAATCTCAAACGTCTTGTTAGGGTTGAGGTAACTAGGTCAGTCTTAATGTGTCCTCCTTGTATCGTCACAACAAGTGCGACCGCGGTGTTATAGAACAGCATGTCTATGTGCCTTGCCAGTAATACAGTTGCAGTGATAACAAATTGGTTGGTTATTTAGAAAG